GGGCGACAAGGTTGATCAATTGGGAGAGAGCCCGTCTAGATATCGGAGGGACCCGGGTTCGAGTCCCTGTCTGGCCTTGAATTTTCCCTTTCCTACGTCTACATTTGGTGCCTATAACCAACCTTTCTTTCAAGAACTGGGTGTACCTTGGCAAGGGGATACCTGAATATTGGCAGTAAATAGTGTTGTCTTGGGGGCAAACACTTAGAAAAAGGAAGGAGGGATGTAGCTGAACTGGACTGGGTTGATCGTCGGCGACCAGGTAGCTCAATTGGTAGAACGTCCGTCTAGAGCTAGGAAGGTCCCGGGTTCGAATCCCGGCATGGACGTGCAGTTTCCCTTTCCTACTGCACACAATATTGTGTAAAATTCGATATCATTATATAAACTGATTTATTAACTTTCCAATGGTTCATGTGAGATATTGACTATAATATAATGATTTTAATATTGTTACACTTACCTCCATGCGGAAAAGTATTTTTAGAATATGCTATGCCATACATTATGCCCTTCGCAATTTTCAGCGTCCTCACTAGCCAGACTTCAACCTGGTGAAATTTTACTCAATTTGTATGAAACTGTGGGGAAAAAGATCTAGCGGACTGGTGGTAAAAACGCATGCTTTCTTTGTTTCAAATTGTTTACAATAGAAATATTTTGATAATGACGTCATAGTGACATGTATTCAAATTGTGGTTCAGCTTATGCTTATCAATCGCGGTCAAGTTAAGGTCTACACGATACAATAAAATGACATAAGGTGACAGTACACAGAATGGATCACCAAACCATCGTTCTCTTCATTCATTGAAAATTCAGTGGATTAATTATATAAGTTTAAGGTTGTATCAAAAGAAGACTATTTATAGATTTTTTTGCAATGTCAGTACCCAAAACCGATCATGGCTTCAATTTTGCAATATTTTGCGCTTCAAATGACTGTTCTAGCATTTTAAGATGATCTTTGAAATATGAATGAAAAAGGGATAAATTATTGTAATAAGTTAACTGTTGACACATTTTTTGATTCATATTTTTTTTTCAAAGAGTGATCCGATTTGGGTCCTGCCTATTTAGGTCTATGAGTTAAAGATACCATTCAATGTTATACATCTATCTGATATAATTTTGTAATAAATATATCTTTAATTTACTTTTATTTTTTTCTTAGACGTATGAGCTATATTTTGTTATGGATACATCTTCACATTGAAAATGTAATGGAAATATATAATCATGATATACGAGAAATCGTGTTTTATTTATAAGAGATTTTATAAAGTAATAGACATAACTCCATTAGTTAATCAGATATCTCCAAAAGTAAACGAGTTATCTCTTTTAGGCATTAAATGTTAAGTTGTTTTGTAATACATGATTATATAGTGTTAGTCACTGTAAAGCGTATCATTGCGTCTACTGTGTGTCACATAGTACATACTGTGTCAATGCGCTGTAGTGTATCACTGTTAAATACAGCGTATCATTGCGTCTACTGTGTGTCACATAGTACATACTGTGTCAATGCGCTGCAGTGTATCACTGTTATATACAGAGTATCATTGCGTCTACTGTGTGTCACAAAGTACATACTGTGTCAATGCGCTGTAGTATATAGTGTATCACTGTTATATACAGCGTATCATTGTGTCTACTGTGCGTCACATAGTACATACTGTGTCAATGCGCTGTAGTGTATCACTGTTATATACAGCGTATCATTACGTCTACTGTGTGTCACATAGTACATACTGTGTCAATGCGCTGTAGTGTATCACTGCGTTACCGTGTATCATTGCACCTACCATGTGTCACTGTTATATACAGTGTGTCATTGCGTCTACATTTCGTTGTCACTCATTTGTATTCTCCACACTGTATTGTTTATGAGAATAAAACAATTGTCATTGTTACTGCGTATACATACAGTATGTCACTGCGCCTATCGTGTGTCACTATGTATACATTGTGTCATTCACGGCGCCTTCCATGTGTCACTGTGTATAATGTGTGTCATTGCGGCCAACAGTGTGTCACTATAGAAACCGTTTGCTATTTCGCCTTCCGTGTGTCTGTCATGGTGCTTACTGTGTGCTAATGTCTATACCGTGTGTCATGGTACTTACCGTGTGTCACTGTCTATACAGTGTGTCTTAGTGCTTACCGTGTGTCACTGTCTATACAATGTGTCATGGTGCTTACTGTGTGCTAATGTCTATACAGTGTGTCTTGGTGCTTACCGTGTGTCACTGTCTATACAGTGTGTCATTGTGCTTACCGTGTGTCACGGTCTATACAGTGTGTCATGGTGCTTACCGTGTGTCACTGTCTATACAGTGTGTCATGGTGCTTACTGTGTGTCACTGTCTATACAGTGTGTCATGGTGCTTACCGTGTGTCACTGTCTATACAGTGTGTCATGGTACTTACCGTTTGTCACTGTCTATACAGTGTGTCGTGGTACTTACCGCGTGTCATTGTGTTTACTGCACGCTGTTATAGTTTTATTTTAAAGTGGCTGATGTCAATGTATGCTGTGCGGAAGATATGAGTGCATAATATTGCTTGAATTTAAACTGCTGCACTATTTAAGAAAAACAATCTTGATGAACATGAATTCTATCAAATTATGTTAGATTCCAATAATGATATAGAATATGAGCATTGATATGCATTGTTTCATTAAGATTTGATTTTTTCTCCATAAATGTCCACCGTCTGGTATATAGTTACGCCTTAAAACGAGTTATCAAAATATTGTTCAGGAGAACTGTCACACGTGAGCAAGAAATCATCGCTAGAGGTCAGTGCGGACAGGAACGTGACAGAATTAAGGATGAGTTTAATTCTGACATAATCAGTCAATGACACGGACCTTATATGGTATGGCATAAGACCACATCTGTTTTGTTCCCGTGTCTTCTTAATTGCATCAACGCCGAGCAGGGAGGGCAGTAATGAAATGTGTATCTTAACACCTAGTGCGCGCTGTCATCGACCGGAAGGTATAACTCAAAATGACACAAATTTTACTATAATGTTTGCAGTTATGCGATGTTTTCACGAGGCTTGCTGTCCAAAAATGTAAAAATATTGTCCTAAAGAGTGACAACGCCAAACCTGATGATACCCTAGTGGCACGTGTACGCCAAACACAGCTGCCAAATACTTTCGTATAATTTGTAATTGGATGTTTGCAATGGATTTTATCAGTTTTGGTGTTTAAGTCGGTGTGTTGACATGGTAATGTTATAGTTGTTGTGTTTACCATATTAGTGTTATAGTTGTTGTGTTTACCATATTAATGTTATAGTTGTTGTGTTTACCATATAAGTGTTATAGTTGTTGTGTTTACCATGGTAATGTTATAGTTGTTGTGTTTACCATATCAATGTTATAGTTGTTGTGTTTACCATATTAGTGTTATAGTTGTTGTGTTAACCATGGTTAGGTTATAGTTGTTGTGTTTACCATATTAATGTTATAGTTGTTGTATTTGCCATGGTTTAGGCTACCGTTGTTGGGTTTGCCATGGTTTAGGCTATCGTTGTTGTATTTGCCATGGTTTAGGCTATAGTTGTTGTGTTTACCATGGTTTAGGCTATCGTTGTTGGGTTTGCCATGGTTTAGACTATCGTTGTTGGGTTTGTCATGGTTTAGGCTTTCGTTGTTGGGTTTACCATGGTTTGGGCTATCGTTGTTGTATTTGCCATGGTTTAGGTTATCGTTTTTGGGTTTACCATGGTAATGTTATAGTTGTTGTGTTTACCATATTAATGTTATGGTAGTTGTGTTTACCATATTTATGTTATAGTTGTTGTATTTGCCATGGTTTAGGCTACCGTTGTTGTATTTGCCATGGTTTAGGCTATCGTTGTTGGGTTTGCCATGGGTTAGGCTATCGTTGTTTGGTTTGCCATAGTTTAGGCTATCGTTGTTGGGTGTATCATGGATTAGGCTATCGTTGTTGTATTTGCGTTGTTGGGTTTGCCATGGTTTAGGCTATCGTTGTTAGGTTTGCTCCTGTTTAGGCTATAGTTGTTGTATTTGCCATGGTTTAGGCTATAGTTGTTGTGTTTACCATGGTTTAGGCTATCGTTGTTGGGTTTGCCGTTTACCATATTAATGTTATAGTTGTTGTATTTGCCATGGTTTAGGCTCCCGTTGTTGTATTTGCCATGGTTTAGGCTACCGTTGTTGGGTTTGCCATGGTTTAGGCTATTGTTGTTGTAGTTGCCATGGTTTAGGCTATCGTTGTTGTATTTGCCATGGTTTAGGCTTTCGTTGTTGTATTTGCCATCGTTTAGGCTATCGTTGTTGGGTTTGCCATGTTTTAGGCTACCGTTGTTGGGTTTGTCATTGTTTAGGTTATTGTTGTTGAGTTTGCCATGGTTAGGCTATCGTTGTTGGGTTTACCATGGTTTAGGCTGTCGCTGTTGTATTTGCCATGGTTTAGACTATCGTTGTTGTATTTACCATGGTTTAGGCTACCGTTTTTGGGTTTGCCATGGTTTAGGCTATCGTTGTTGGGTTTTCCATGGTTTAGGCTATCGTTGTTGGGTTTGCCATGGTTTAGACTATTGTTGTTGGGTTTGACATGGCTTGGACTATCGTTGTTGGGTTTGCCATGGTTATGGCTATCGTTGTTGGGTTTGGCATGGTTTAGGCTATCGTTGTTGGGTTTTCCATGGTTTAGGCTATCGTTGTTGGGATTTCCATGGGTTAGGCTATCGTTGTTGTATTTGCCATGGTTTAGGCTATCGTTGTTGGGTTTGCATGGGTTAGGCTATCGTTGTTGTAATCGTTGTTGGGTTTGCCATGGTTAAGGCTATCGTTGTTGGGTTTGCCATGGTTTAGACTATGGTTGTTGGGTTTGCCATGGTTAAGACTATCGTTGTTGTGTTTGCCATGGTTTAGACTATAGTTGTTGTATTTGCCATGGTTTAGGCTATAGTTGTTGTGTTAACCATGGTTTAGGCTATTGTTGTTTGGTTTACCATGTCTTAGACTATCGTTGTGTGGTTTACTAGGGTTTAGGCTATCGTTGTTGGGTTTACCATGGCTTAGACTATCGTTGTTTGGTTTACCATGGTTAAGGCTATTGTTGTTTGGTTTACCATGGTTTAGGCTATCGTTGTTGTATTTGCCATGGTTTAGGCTATCGTTGTTGTATTTGCCATGGTTTAGTCTATCGTTGTTGTATTTGCCATGGTGTAGGCTATCGTTGTTGTATTTGCCATGGTGTAGGCTATCGTTGTTGTATTTGCCATGGTTGGCTATCGCTGTTGTTTTTGCCATGGGTTAGGCTATTGTTGTTGTATTTGCCATGGTTTAAACTATAGTTGTTGTATTTGCCATGATTTAGGCTATTGTTGTTGTATTTGCCATGGATTAGGCTATCGTTGTTGGGTTTGCCATGGTTTAGGCTATCCTTGTTGGGATTTACCATGGATTAGGCTATCGTTGTTGTATTTGCCATTGTTTAGGCTGTAGTTGTTGGGTTTATCATGGTTTAGGCTATCGTTGTTTGGTTTATCATGGTTTAGACTATCGTTGTTGGGTGTATCATGGATTAGGCTATCGTTGTTGGGTTTGCCATGGTTTAGACTATCGTTGTTGGGTTTGTCATGGGTTAGGCTATCGTTGTTGGGTTTGCCATGGTTTAGGCTATCGGTGTTGGGTTTGCCATGGTTTAGGCTATCGTTTTGGGTTTGCCATGGGTTAGGCTATCGTTGTTTGGTTTGCCATGGGTTAGGCTATCGTTGTTTGGTTTGCCATAGTTTAGGCTATCGTTGTTGGGTGTATCATGGATTAGGCTATCGTTGTTGTATTTGCCATGGTTTAAACTATAGTTGTTGTATTTGCCATGATTTAGGCTATTGTTGTTGTATTTGCCATTGATTAGGCTATCGTTGTTGGGTTTATCTTGATTTAGACTATCGTTGTTGGGTGTATCATGGATTAGGCTATCGTTGTTGGGTTTGCCATGGTTTAGGCTATCGTTGTTAGGTTTGCCCCTGTTTAGGCTATAGTTGTTGTATTTGCCATGGTTTAGGCTATAGTTGTTGGGTTTGCCATGGTTTAGACTATCGTTGTTGGGTTTACCATGATTTAGGCTATCGTTGTTGTATTTGCCATGGTTTAAACTATAGTTGTTGTAGTTGCCATGATTTAGGCTATTGTTGTTGTATTTGCCATGGATTAGGCTATCGTTGATGGGTTTGCCATGGTTTAGGCTATCGTTGTTGGGATTTACCATGGATTAGGCTATCGTTGTTGGGTTTGACATGGTTTAGACTATCGGTGTTGGGTTTGCCATGGTTTAGGCTATCGTTGTTGGGTTTGCCATGGGTTAGGCTATCGTTGTTGGGTTTGCCATGGGTTAGGCTATCGTTTTTGGGTTTGCCATGGTTTAGGCTATCGTTGTTGGGTTTGCCATGGGTTAGGCTATCGGTGTTGGGTTTGCCATGGTTTAGGCTATCGTTGTTTGGTTTATCTTGGTTTAGACTATCGTTGTTGGGTGTATCATGGATTAGGCTATCGTTGTTGGGTTTGCCATGGTTTAGGCTATCGTTGTTGGGTTTGCCATGGTTTAGGTTATCGTTGTTGGGTTTGCCCTGGTTTAGGCTATAATTGTTGTATTTGACATGGTTTAGGCTATCGTTGTTGGGTTTATCATGGATTAGACATTTGTTGAGAAACTACTTTTACCTGTCTTTGCTGAGGAACTTATTTGACATACATTTGTCGAGTTGCTTGTTTTACTGGTTTTAATTTAGGAACTTGTCTTACCGACCTATCTTGGGTGTTTGCTAATTTGCTTGAGAGAAATAATTTTCCTATGCGAACTCAAAATCTTCGTAAAATTAATTTACTTATGTCAAACCGAAAATAAGGAATCTGAACATGTACGTAGGTCAGGATATCTCGGTCTTTTACCTATATCATGGTTAGCTTTACCAAACATCAGTCAACAGTGTTGTGTGGGGCCCTAGTTTGATACAGAGCAATTAATACAGAATCCGGGGCGCCATCCCGTCTAAGAGCTGTCAGTACAAGATTTGTGATGTAGTCACGGCGTTAATACTAGATATGCCCAGAGGTATACCCTGACCGATTTGTGGCTCGGCCGTGATGGAATCAGAAACGAGAGTCTAAAACACGGCAAGTTTGTTTTATAGAGTAACAATTAAAGAACATGTCCGATCTTGGAAATTTTGGCGCCATCTGGTAAAGTTAATACAAGCTTGTCTCTATGTCACGTGGGCAGATGACATCCCATTCATGTGGCCTGACAAGTTGGTACACACATATGTTTATCGGTACTATAGTACGCATATAGTGTCGGTGCTGACACCTGGTGTCATAACGTGTCGTGACATTGACGACCAGTTTCCCTGCCAACATTCCTAGGACACGCCTACACAACGTTTCCTGTGTGTTCCTAAAATATACACGTACATATTGTATACAGGCGTTGGGGAGTCTTATTGTGACGCGCAAACCATCTTCTTCTGTATTTTCGTAAGTTAACATTGGGAAAATCGTCAGACCAAATTACGGGTTTCTAAATGCAAAATCGACTCGGGCATGAATGTAAAGGTTGTTCAAGAACAGGTTTAGCTCGTCAAAAATACATAGATTCGATAACAGAACCGCTCATAAATGAAAGGGTTGTAACTGTTATGAACGAATGAATAAATTGCAGGCAGTGATAGAGTTACTGTGAGAACATGACAGATGTAGAAACAGATTTATTTAGAACATTACCACTGTTTAATTGGCTTAAATGTTAGAAGCCTTATATTCCGTGTAATAGTTAAGAACAAGTACTTCTTATTGATATATTATATTTATATCATATAATCCCTTTTGATTAACAACGTGTACAAATGTAATCCCTGTTCATAAACTGTCGATTTCAGACATTTGTATAATATGTACCCCATAATATTCTAAGATTACTTAAGTAATCTCTATCCATTTACTACATGTACATATGTATATCCCTGATTAGAGGTAACGATTATATGTAATGTGTAATCCCTATTGATAGGTTACGACTGTACATATTATGCTTATGTTTATATTCCAATAATATATAATATGTACTCTACGTCACAGTTGTATACTTACTCCTATGGGATTATCTCCCCCGACCAGATGTTTGTTTACGTACGGGGACACCCCTGCATGTTTACGTACAGGGACACCCTGCATGTCTTAGTCATGGTGAAATGATAGTTTCAAGGATCACATTTCAGAAGCAGATGTGCAGTTTGGAGACAAAACGGATCTGCTGTATTGCAGCCGAACAAAAGAAGGGGTGTGCCGCGATGACGCAATCCCGTGAATTTTATGACAATGCGCGTCCCTATGTGTCTTGCTACGCGTGCCCTCCCTAACAGGGACACGAGTTTGGAGGAAGCTAGTGGCCATATCATTCATATACGAAGATCCAGGATTTTATCGAGGGTCTGGGATGCAGGAGAGATGCTCCGGCGCGGAGTATGAGAAGGCCAAACCCCCCTTGAAGCTATTGAATTACTTCCTTTCTACGTAAAAAGGGGTAAATTCCGAGAAAAATTATATACAACTCTGATCGGTTTCTGGATCCGCCACTGTTTAATTTTCGTAACTATCCAGCAAACCCTATGCAATGATCCGGACTACGCATGTCCGTCAACTGTTTAATTCATTGGCTCCCTCCCCTGTATGTGACCAAGTCCGCGTCATTCCGTCAACTATTAGTCAGCGTTTTAATTGTTTGTATTATGATCACGTGATAGACAACACAATGTCAATGGTTTCTTAAAAAATACCACTAATGTGTAATGTGTCATTGCATCATAATTAAGTTTGTACGATGTCGTAATTCTTCTCGTTGTGTCCTGTCCCAAGATTAATTATACTGTCAAGTTGGGAATAATTCCAGGACGCCTTTATCTAACGTTTTCTTTCATCATTTTAACAATGTACCAATTGACATATCACACTGTTTCAACAATTATGTAGGTGTTCAAAAACCTCTGAAATATGTTTATGTCTACCAGTGAAAAGTACAACCTAAGTAATAACTCACATTGTGTAATAATTTCTATAGCGTAGAGACTTGTCAATTTAACTTTAGAACAGGTGTGTATGAATACATTACACGGCTAGGTTGTTCAAAATAAAATATAGCAGCGTTATTAAAGCATGCACGCGTTATGATATCAGCTTTAACACTCGTTCTGCACATATGGAAACATTCCTTTCATATCATATAAATAACTTCGAGCAGAGAATGGTCTACATGAACATCTACATGCATAAATAGAATGTGTGCTTACGTCTCCCGCATTTCCTAAACATCTGGGAATATTGTTTAAAGGCGCGTGTAACTGTAAACGATGAGCGTGCAACTCGTTTATCATCTGGACATCTTAGAAGAGTTTCCCGCGCTTCCCCACCCTGTTACGAGCAAGCGTTGTAAAGACATTAGATTCAAATATGAAATTCGGCTTTCTTTGAAAAATATGATGAAAAGGGTGTCAGTCGAAATTCCAGGGTTTACGCTCACTTGAGTTCTCAGTAGTGCAGAGAACGAAATAGCGCGTAACCCCTGGAATTTCGAGAAAGAGTCCCCCTCAAGCTCAATTTTCGATGAACGCCGCTACATAGCCTTTAGATTCAATTAAGAAAATCTGTAGCAGAAAATTGTCAATTGCGAGGTTTAATATTTTTATACGTAAAAACATTACTATGAGACCACACTCAATAAACACAAATAAATTGTACATTGGAGTGCTTACATGGCAGCTACGCGCCTGGTTTTCAGTTCGTCCATCTGTCCATTCGTCATACATTGTTTTTCATACAACACTAACTTCCCTGAATATTATATTCAATATTTTGATGTGCTTGTATAATGGCGATGTTCATGCCTTTGTCCGAAAATGAACAGAATATTACTCAGTTACACTGATTTACTTGATTTGTATAACAGAAACAACATTCCGGACATAACATTTCCGTCTAACTTGACTTGAGGACGTATAACGGAAAGCATCATGAGCAAAATTCCATTTAATTAGGCAACGGGGATTTTCTTGGTTCTGATATATGCCGACTTATTCTGTAAAATTAAACTATGCATACATGGCAAGGTGCTGGTCAAATTTGAAGAGTAGAAGAACTTCTACATATTTAGTCATGTTATGGTCAGTTTTAACAATGGATGTCAAGCTCAAGTCTTGTAAGCTGACCGGAATCCTTGTATTTCAACGAAGTCACATGGGTACTGTCCTCAAATCTGA